GTACATATACTAACATTGGAACTACACAGAGAAGATTAACATGGTCCCTGGGCAAGGATGACACGCGAAACCGTGAAGCTTTCCATATTGTCCCAGTCATGCATCCATTCAGCAGTGTCACCTGCTCCATCACCCCCCAACTAAACGAGTATCATCATCTCATCATGGTGACAGCCTACTAATTCTCTAATGGCTTGTGTTAACTCACCAATCGAATCCAGGTGACATGAATGCTGGTATGCTTGAGAGTGCATTGATGTTGATAATGGGCTGGTGTCTTGCACTGGTAGGTGTACTATCCAACTTATTTAGTGATAGGATAGGAGACAGTTGGTGTATATTTTGCCTGTGTTGTGGGTGTAGGCATGAGTCAGGTGTGTTCAAGTGTTTCGGTGTTGCTTTGTTTGTGTAGCTTTATGACTTTCTTCATGCATCATTGTCTGAATATCACTACACTCAAATCGATGGGCAAGCAACTGAAGTGAAGTCAATATGAGTCTTCTTACAGCACTTTCGACCATCAGTTATTCTTCATTTTTCTAGTACAAAAAAGAAAGCTGAGACTAACAATTGCTCACTATCCTGCATATTCAAAAGCTTGAAATGTCGACATAAAGCTATTGAGCTGAGCAAAAATACAAAAAACCATAGGATGTCTTTTAAAATAATACGATTTGGTCTGCATCATGGTTTGATGTTTTTTCTCCTAGTTATAAGACTTTTCAGACCCTTTATTCAACTTATTATACTGTAAAAGTAATCTAGTGTTGGTTGATTTTCTGTACCAGGCTCTGAAGATTTTTTATCAACAGAGTTCTTTATGCATTCGGAGTTGACTTCACACCAATCCGAAATAAGATGGTCAGTTTACAATTGATATATAAATGGTTTGGTCCACGTTGACGTTCCTTGCAACTGAGTAGTTTTTCGACTGCCCAACTATGGCGTCAACAAGATTTTCCCTGGAAATCATTCATCTGCCAAGACCGCCAGATGTGATCTTTGACACAAAAGTGTCAAGAGGTAGAGAAAGATACTTCTAGTGATCAACTTTAACAGTTGGCAATCACTCAAGTTGATCTGTAGTATTTTGTGTTTAGGTCAATGATGACCTGACTGGTGAACTATTACAGATCAGCCCGACTCATTATAACTATTCAAGTTGTTCACTGTTAGTGTCTGCTTCTAGTTCTTGGCACATTTGTGTCAGAGATCGTATCTTGTGGTCTTGGTGAATGAATGGTTTCCCACAAAAACTTTTTTGACACCATAGTTGGGCAGTTGAAAAGCTACTCAGTTGTGAGAAATGTCAACGTGGATCGTACATTTGTAAATCATTAAATAATGGATCATTCCATTTCAAATGTGATAAGCATTTTCTTTTTTCAAGTACGCAAACCTATCAGCTTAGGTCCTCAGAGCTAAAATTAAGATAGGACTAATATAACTTCTACACAAAACAACTTCATCTGATATTACAAATAGCTAGTCGGTCAGCCTCTTTCACCTATCTAGGCAGCACTGTTTCAACTACAGGCGACACAGATGATGACGTCAAAACCAGCCAGGATCGGAAAAGCAAGACAGGTTTTCACTAACCTGAAACCAGTGTGGAGATGTTCTGCACTCAAATCAGCATGTGGAACAACATCCGGATTTTCAGCACTAACGTCAAGTCAGTGCTTGTGTATGGCTCTGAAACTTGGCGCGTTACGAAAGGGATTTCTAACAAACTATAGACATTCATCAACAGCTGCCTACCCTCGTTGATGAAGATCAGATGACCAGAATAATAAGAATAAGCAACAGGGAACTCTGGCAACGAATCAACGAAGCAAGAACCTATCGCTGAACAAATATGCACTAGAAGGAAGTGTAGATGGATTGGGCATACACTAAGAAGGCCGAGTGAGGACATCACGCGCGAGGCCAGTTGCTCGAGTGGAAGGAACCCTAAGGGGAAACGATGAGTTGGACGTCTGAGGCAAGGGTGACATGGAAGAGATCATGTCAGGAAGAAATCGAAGCTTCTGGGCAGTCGTAGAGGTAGGTTGGAAAGACTGCAGAGAAGAGAGTGTAATGCAGACGTGCTAGTGAAGTCCTATGTTCCACTAGGAACCCAAGGGACAAATAATAATAATAATAATAATAATAATAATAATAGTCAGTCAGCAGGAAGTCCTGCTGGAAGTCCGTGCTTGTTAGCGCTTGTCAACCTAGCGCATCTGCAACTTTAGGAAAACTGATCTTCCCATCGGTAAATGAAACCTACAATAATCATAACTGAAAGCAGTCAGAGAATAAACCATTTGTTTTGTTCAACCCATGACTGACCTTCTATATATCTGTCGAAAATGCATGGATTGGTCAACATATCTAGTCTCATATACTGAAAGCCATTTTTATAATTATATTCTTTAGCTAACAATGTATGAGAGTTATGTAGTACACTTGGGCAATTTAATTGTTCATCTCACTTCTTCCAAATCTCAATCAACTCCTCATCTATCCAAATGAAATTGAAAGAAATAAGGTAGAAAAGAAGATAAATCACACACTTTCTCATCTTAATATTTTCATTTTTATTCAACATCTGATCAATAAGTGATCAATTTTTTCTTACCAATTTTATTATTCGTTCAACGAAAAGCTACATTTATATATCTGCTCAAAAGTAGAAAGAAAATCAGTTGGACTGTAAGAATAAATAAAATATGTCATGAACAACAATGCGGTTTTCAATTTTTATCTTCTCACTATAAAAACAAATGATAGAGTTAGTAACGAAGATAATTTTAAAAAGTTAGCTATATCTCTCAGTGAATGATTTGATTGGTTGTGGCTAACAGAAGAATCCAGGACACGTGTCTCTCCCTATTTGGGACTCATCAGCTGGATATACCTGCATCCCAGTGAGACTTGAACCTCGTACTCATCGGTTCAAATGCCAAGGCGTTGTCCACTATACGACAGATGAACGATAGCCACTTCTTGTACAACGGGTAGTAGTTATCACTATTTATTGATATACTTGTTATTCTCCGTTGTTTGTTGTGTTGGATGGAATCGTTCAACCTCTATTGACATAAGGGTTCCTATACGAATGCATCGATATTGTGTGAATGTTAATTATGATAAATTCGTTGGTTGGTTGTGTCTTAGTAGAAGAATCCAGGACACGTATTTCGATCCAATAAAACAATAGAGAATAACAAGTATGTCAATAAATAGTAAGAACTACAAAAAATTTAAGTTTCTCAATTTTTCAAATAAAATTTCTTTCGCTTTATTTATCCATAAAGATATAGGTAATATGAATTACATTTACTCAGACATTGATCATTGTAAATATCAGAAAAGGGTTACATTTGTACATAGAAGAATAAAGCAATCTGTAATAAATAAATAAAATACTCATAAACCTCAAAGTAAACTACTTATAATTTGTCCCATGAGTTCCTAGTGGAACATACGGCTTCAGTAGCATGCCTCCATTCCACTCCAACCTCTGGCTCTACAACTGGACATAACCTTTCATTTCTTCCTCACACAATCTCCTCCATATCACTCTCGGCTGAGACGTCCAACTCGTCGTTTCCCATGCCGATTCCACTCGATGGACTGGTCTGGCACCTGATGTCCCCAATCGGCCTTCTCAGTGTATGCCCAACCCAATCCAATCCAATCCAATCCAATCCAATCCAATCCATCTCCACTTCCTTCTGCATACTTGTTGAATGACAGGTTGGTTGGTTACCAGCTGGAGTGAGTTTTGTGTTACTTATTCTTTCTGGCCATCTCATGGATCTTCAGTAACGAGCAAGTGTAGGCAGCTATTGATGAATATCTGTAGTTTGTTGAAAGTGCGTTTCGTGACACACCAAGTTTCTGAAACATATAGAATCACTGACTGACTTGACTGAATTGGTGTTGAAAATCCAGTTGTTGTTGACGCTTTATGCTGAGTGCAGTAGATTTCCACACTGATTGTTCAGATTAATGAAAGCCTTTCTTGCTTTTCCGATCCTGGCTGCTTTGACATGCTCGTCTGTGCCTGTGCCGCTGGCTGTAGTTGAAATGACGCTGCCTAGGTAGGTGGGAAGGTGGGTGAAAGAGACTACCTCCTTTAGATTTCTTCCGTTGATGTAAATTGGTGCATGTTATTGATGCTGTTGTTCGTTAGGTATCTTCATAACCTCTGTTTTCTCTACATTCGCTTAAAGTCCCGTCTTCGCTGTCTCTTCTGTCAACTTGTTAGTTTTCGCTTGTAGATCTTTGAGTTTGTGCTAGAAGACATAAGACATAAATTATCATCAGCGAAGTCCAAATCATCTAGGGCTTTGGTGAATACTACCTTAAAAAGTAGTTATCACCTTTGAACAAATTGTCCATTTAATATATACAAACTTTTTTTGAGATGAGTGGGGATTTTTAATTCATCATGGACTGACATTAGCTGGGTAACCATTGAAAATCTAGGAACACTGAACAGCTGTTTCGTCCTGCTGTGGTACTCCTCGGCAGTACTCACTCACGACCCGGCTAGGGATCGAACTCAAGACCTTCAGGTTTCACGGCGAACGCCTTAACTATTCAGCTACTGGGTCAGTTCCCAGTGGTTCACAATTTCCAACTTCTGTCAATTCACAACATAGCGCGACTGTTACTCAAGGTCTTCAGTTAGCATCTACTTCACTTCCGACTGGTTGACCCAACAGGTCACAGCTTCTGATTAGAACTTCCTGATATCCATCTGGAGGTAAGTCACTAATGAGCACTATAGAGTAATATATTTTTGAGGTGAATGGGGATTTTTAATTTAGAACTAGTATTCATCATTCACTGAATGAGGTGTCTCATACTAGTTGGACGTAACTGCTGTTCAGTGCTCCCAGATTTTCAATGGTTCCCCAATTAATGATGAATACTACTTCTATATAAAAACTTTGTTTAATTTTTTTAAATCAACTAATATTAATTTCTTGATAAAATTTTTCTAGATGATAATCCACCGAAATTATTAACTGATTTATTAAATCATGAATTCTCTAAATTTGTTATACGTGGTCGTTCTGTTGAATTGGTATGCCCTCAACCAGGTGTACAAAAGTCAAATGATGGTATAACACCTATTACAGTATGGGGATTAATGCCACGTTTAGGGGAACAACAACAACCTGTGTAAGTGTATTGAAATGATTTCTAATTTGTATAATATTGATTTATTGATTTTTGTATATTATTAAACATATGTTGTTTAAAATGCACACACACACACACATACAATTAAAGTGCACAAAATTGAAGTGGATTTTGAAATGAATAATGGATGAACCTACTTTTATATTCTCTGTCTATTTCAGGAGATTAGCAATTAGTAGTATGGTATTAAAATGGTATTATTTCAATTTACAAATTATTTTAAGGCATTATCTCTATTTTACAATTAATTATCAAAATATTGTCAACATCCTTTTAAGAAGTCTTCAATTCTTGGAAAAATTTTTCATAACCAATCGTTTTCCTTTGAAGTTTCAAGAAAAAGGAACATGTAAACTAAAGTGTAGATACCAGATTGGTTGAAGTGGAAAAAATCAATGGGATATACTGTTTTAGAAAGTTCGCGAAATAGTGAAGGCCACTGTGAATAAGTATATTATATATATATATATATATATATATATATATATATATATATATATATATATACATATATATTACTCAGGTTATATTAGCGTACTATCCACTGAGTCCTCTGAAATGAAGATTTTTGTTGTACAGGCTTACAATCGTATATTTTTGGAAGTCCCTACTTCTTAGGCGGTACAAATGAATAATTATTACGTTTCCAATTAGGTTTATCTAAGCAGTATTCATCATGGACAGATATGAGTTGGGGAATCATTGAAAATCTGAGAGAACTGGATAGCTGTTTCTTCCTATTATGGGACTCCTAAGTAATACTCACCCACGACCCGGCTAGAGATCGAACTCAGGACCTTCAGGTTACATGGTGAACGCGTTAACCATTCAGCCAGTGGGTTGGTTTCCATTGGTTGACAGTCGCGCTATGTTGTGAACTGACCCAGTGACTGAATGGTTAACGCGTTCGCCGTGAGACCTGAAGAACCTCAGTTCGATCCCTATCCGGGTCGTGGGTGTATACTGTTGAGTAGTCCCATACTAGTTGAACGAAACAGCTGTCCGGTGCTCCCAGATTTCCAATAGTTCCCCAACCAATATCAGTCCATGATGAATACTACTTTTAAATCGAAAAATCCCTACTCATCTCAAAAATACATTAGGTTTATCTAGTCATTTGGTGTGAAGGGGTACTTACGAAATGTTTTTCAACGACGTCATTTATGAGACGATGAAGAATATTTATAGCTCAGAAAGATGATTTTGATGGAGTTATATTCTGTGAGCTGGCTAATTTAATCATGAAGCTTTTATTGTCGTTCTAGACAATATGTACAGACTTCCGAGCTTAGTTTGTCATTGTATTTAATATAATGAATGTTTCAAGTTTAGGAAAAACGTTAACACGATGAAAGATAAATGGAGGAATATCTTAAAAGTAACATGAATGAAAGGGATTTTCAACAAACTACAGACATTCATTAACAACTGTCTACGATCGCCACTGAAGCTCAGACGGTCAGAAAGAATAAGCAACAAGGCACTCCGGCTGGATGGCAACGAACCAGTCAACTAATATGCACTGGAAGGAAATGTAGATGGATTTGGCATACACTAAGAAGGCCGACTGGGGACATCACGCACCAGACCAAGCCGTCGAGTGGAATCAAAATAGGAAACGACGAGTTGGGCGTCCGAGGATGACATAGAGGAGATAGTGTGAGGATGAAATGAGAGCTTCTGGGCAGTGGTGGAGCTAGGTTGAAAAGATTGCAGAGAACAGAGTGGAATGGAAACGTGCTAGTGAAGTCTTGTGTTCCATTAGGAACCCAAGGGACAAATAATAATAATATTATAATAATAATGAGCATGAGTGATACTTTGAATGAATACCAGTGATAAAGTTTAATGTTCGGGGTACATGCTTCCTGAACTTTCATTCTGTAGATGGATTAATTTCTGGCGACTTTGACATTATGACTGTATTGATATACTGGTTAACAGGTAGTGTTTATTGCAAACTGATACGAGTTGGAGAACCATTGAAAACCTGGGATCAGTGGACGGCTGTTCAGTCTCAGTATAAGTCTTCTCGGTAGTTCATATTCACAAACTCGCTAGCGATTGGAATCATGAACTTCATGTCTCGCAGCAAACGCAGTAACGATTCAGACAGTGGGTCGATGTTCAGCAGTCCAGGTTGCCTATTTCAGTCAATTTACGATGTAGTGCGATAATCCACTTTCAACAGTTTTCTAAAGGATACCACGGTATGAAGTTTAATACCTAGACAGGCAAGCAATGACATAAATTTGGCTCATTCACTCATCAGATCGTACAGTTTCAAACGTTGGGTAATAGTTATGCTCACTCATAGTGGAAATGAAGTAATATGTGGCTGCGAATAGTTTAATAGTAAAATAGTATCCATTTGTATGGCTAGAAACTGGGAAGTTTTGGAATAATCCATAAGGGGTTTAGATGGTAAGTACTTAAGCTGTTCATTGGTAGTATGTTTCACTAGTTCTTGACACTTTTGTGTCAGGGATCACACCTTCTGATCTCGGTTGATGAGCGGTTACTGGCAAAAAAATTATTGAAACTAAAGTTGGGCAGTTGAAAAACTATTCAGTTGTTAGGAATGTCAGTTGTATATTGATTAATCATCTTAATTTAGTTTCAAAATGGATTGAAATGCAAACACTGTAGTATAGATGTGTATACACTGGTTATGGAAGCTTCTTATGTTGTCTTAGTTACTAATAGAACAATTGAACAATGATAGCCTTTCATCATCTTGCATATTACTATTATCACTATTAGTATTTTTCCCTTGAGTGCCTAGTGGAACATGGGGATTCAGTAGCACGTCTCCATTCCACTGTCTTCTCTGCAGTCTTTTCAACCTCACTCCACCACTGCCCATAAGCTTTCATTTCTTCCTCACACAATCTCCTCCATGTCATCCTCGAATCAGACACCCAACTCGTCGTTTCCCATGCGGATTCCACTCGACGGACTGGTCTAGCGCCTGATGTCCCCAATCGGCCTTCTCAGTGTATGCCCAATCAAATCCAATCAAATCCAATCCATCTCCACTTCCTTCTGTATACTTGTTGAACGACAGGTTGGTTGGTTGGTTGCCAGCCAGAGTTAGCTTTGTGTTACTGATTCTTTCTGGCCATCTCATGGATGATCGGTAACGAGCAAGTGTAGGCAGCTGTTGATGAATATCTGTAGTTTGTTGAAAGTGCGTTTCGTGACACACCAAGTTTCTGAACAAATAGAAGCACTGACTGACTTGACTGAATTGGTGTTGAAAATCCAGTTGTTGTTGACGTTTATGCTGAGTGCAGTAGATCTCCACACTGATTTGTTCAGATTAATGAAAGCCTTTCTTACTGTCTTTCCAATTGTGGTTTTGACATGCTCGTCTGTGCTGTGCCGCTGCCTGTAGTTGAGTGGATGATGTCTGGGTAAGTAGATGAAAGAGACTACCTCCTTTATGTTTCTCTCGTTGAGGGTGATTGTTGCTTGTTGTTGATACTGTTTTTGGTTGTGTATCCTGATCACCTGCGTCTTGTTTACATTCGTGTGGAGAAAGTCTGGTCTTCACTGTCCTACCTCTTCTGTCAACTTGTTAGTTTTGGGTTGTCGATTGTGGAGTTTGTGCAACAAGACATTGGACATAAATGATCATTGGTGAAATACAAGTCTTCTAAGCTCTTTTCATTGGTTTAGCCAGCGTATATCCATCTTCTCGCTGCTCACAGTTGTGTGTTTCATGATGCAGTTGACCGTAATGAGGGAGATGATTGTTGCTAGTGGTCGGCAGTCTTGTCCTGTTGTACTGGTGTCTTCACTTCAGTTGAAAGGTGTCACTGAGTTTTCGATTGTGTATCGCTTGTCGTGTGGCGTTTTCATATAGTTGTTGAATGAGGTTGATAAAGAATTGTGGCACTAAAACTAATGAACTTGACGTAGAGAGTTCAATCTTGCACATTATCTCCGAGTTATTATCTTGAAATGAGTTTATTGGTGGCACTTAACTCAGTCAGCACCATACTTACAGAAAAAATGGAACGAACAACTTAGTAGTTTTACTAAACTATCAAATAAGTCTGTAATAATTTGTACTCTACTAAAGACTGGACAAATCTGTACACTAATTCTTAATTTCACAGTAAAATGAGCAGTATTTCAAGTGTGTAACATATTAGTAGTGTATGTATGAAATATGATATATACATAAGTTAACTAATCTCAAGCAAATAATTATTCAATTATCAATTTGATTATTATTTTTTTTGTTTTAAATATATGTATTGAAAATTTTAGCTCAACTCTAAGAGATATTCAATTTGCAGATCAAGATACAAAATTAGTAATCAATAATTTTGATGTACATCATGTGAGCTTTTATACATGTGAAATTAGTTGGCCCGGTTCACCAGATAAATATGTTTTCTTATTTCAAATTGAAATAGCTGGTAAGTATAATACTTTGTTACTCATATGTTCTCCTTATTTGTTATTCATCATTTTGTTTATTTTAAATGTTTTCTGAATTTCGTTTTTATTACACCTACATACATATATGTGTGTGTGCATGTACTCACTACACTATTTCAAGGTCATGAAATTTAATTACAAAGCTGACAAGATCTGTTCAGCAACAGATAATCGTCTTTATCTTATTTATTGACTATATACAATATACCAGTAAAATGTTCTAAATTCAGATAACTAGTTGATGATGAATGCTCACACTACTACTGCAAAAGGTTTGGAAGGAAGAAAAAGTACCTACAGATTGCAAGAAGAGCTACCTTGTCATCCAAGAACTGGTGTGTAATCATACTGCTGTCCACCCCAAACAAATTGTTATGCCGCATCATACTGAAGAGACTGAACAATGCACTGATTCAAAATTACTACCGGAACAGGCTGGCTGGATTCAGGAAGAACAAACCATGTGCGGAGCAAACTGCAACGCTACGTTACGCATCATCATAAAACAGAGCATAGAATAGCAGTCAACATTAACGACTTTGAAAAGGCCTTAGACAGAGTCCACAAACTAGTATTTTGGTAGGCAGCTACTTCAACACTACGCTCTTAGTAACACAAACCTTTATCAACCTCATTCAACAACTATATGAAAACGCCACATAAAAAGTGATACACAATCGAAAACTCAGTGACACCTTTCAACTGAAGTGAAGACACCAGTACAACAAGACAAGACTGCCGACTACTAGCACCAATCATCTCCCTCATTACGGTCAACTGCATCATGAAACACACAACTGTGAGCAGCGAGAAGATGGATATACGCTGGCTGACCGATGAAAAGAGCTTAGAAGACTTGTATTTCACCAATGATCATTTATGTCCAATGTCTTGTTGCACAAACTCCACAATCGACAACCCAAAACTAACAAGTTGACAGAAGAGGTAGGACAGTGAAGACCAGACTTTCTCCACACGAATGTAAACAAGACGCAGGTGATCAGGATACACAACCAAAAACAGTATCAACAACAAGCAACAATCACCCTCAACGAGAGAAACATAAAGGAGGTAGTCTCTTTCATCTACTTACCCAGACATCATCCTCTCAACTACAGGCAGCGGCACAGGCACAGACGAGCATGTCAAAACCACAATTGGAAAGACAGTAAGAAAGGCTTTCATTAATCTGAACAAATCAGTGTGGAGATCTACTGCACTCAGCATAAAACGTCAACAACAACTGGATTTTCAACACCAATTCAGTCAAGTCAGTCAGTGCTTCTATATGGTTCAGAAACTTGGTGTGTCACGAAACGCACTTTCAACAAACTACAGATATTCATCAACAGCTGCCTACACTTGCTCGTTACTGAAGATCCATGAGATGGCCAGAAAGAATAAGCAGCACAAAACTGACTCTGGCTGGGAACCAACCAACCAACCTGTCGTTCAACAAGTATGCAGAAGGAAGTGGAGATGGATTGGATTGGGCATACACTAAGAAGGCCGATTGGGGACATCACGTGTCAGACCAGTTGCTCGAGTGGAATCCGCATGGGAAACGACGAGTTGGACGTCTGATTCGAGGATGACATGGAGGAGATTGTGTGACGAAGAAATGAAAGCTTATGGGCAGTTGTAGAGCCAGAGGTCAGAGTAGAATGGAGACGTGCTAGTGAAGCCATATGTTCCACTACGAACCCAAGGGAATATTAATGATAATAGTAAATAGTTGATAATCAATCGTTTCGAACATCTAATTTCTACTAGATTTGTACCATATTCCGTTATGGTACTTAGCGATCTACATAAATGGTCTCAGTCTCATTCTGAATATTTTTAAAACCTTTAACTTGACCATTCAGTTTAGACAGTCATTTCGATAGTAGCTAGTGAATAACCACAAAAAGTTGTGTCTGTGTGATACAGTGGGTAACAACTGTCCTATCTTTTTTATTAATCTGCTATCATTTGTGATTTATCTTTTCAACAGTTTTCTATCCGAAAGTTTCCTTTGGAAATTTTCACTTGTCATCTTAAGGGCCAATAAAGTTACCGGCAAGTTTGAACAGTTTATTGCTTATTTTAGAAGAGTACTACACGTTTAGTTCTGAAAAGCTTTACACATTAAATGAACACCTTTTATGTTCAACCAATGGAATAACATCATATTCACATACGATGCCCCCCACATCACTAATTGTTAGTGCTATAACGGCATCTTTTATGTATTCGAGAAGTAAAGCTTCTTTTAATTACAACCATAAACTTGATTTCCGCGAAATGTTTTTCCGATGTGGTATGGCTGTTTCAGAGATTTCATCCATTCAACATTATATTAAACCATAGCGAATTACTCCGAAATCTCTCTTTAATATCAGATGTCTGTTTGTCCCAGTTGCCTGAAACCTTATCTATAACCCTCTAATGAAATGACTTTTATTTATCATGTTAGGATAAGGTGAAACATGATAGACATCTTAATCATGTTTTTTCCTGGCTTTCTTTAGCTTCATAAGTGATTTAGGATCGGCATTCGGTTAAAATGCATATACTTCCATCTTATACCCCATGCTTTATTTGCTTCTCTGGGTAGGATCACTGAAGTGAATCTTCAGCTGAGCTCAAACTGGAACCAGTGATCTTGGATAGATAAAGAGAAATATTTTGAGTAGAAATTAGCAAATTCGTGTATTAGTTTAGTTCAACACACTTATCGATTAAACGAACGTAGTCAAAGGGTGTAAAAGCAAATTATCATTTGTCGATACTTGCAATTTTCAGTTGTTTCACTGAACTGAATACGTTGACGTCTATTGGCATATGGGCTACTGTAAAGATGTCTCGATATTGCCTGAATTTTATTGTTATAAGTGAATTGGTTGTGACTAGTAGCACAACCAAAGACATAAGTTTCATTCAGTTGACGAGTACCAAGTGAGACGAAATGGACGTACACTTGGTAGTGTTGAACTCGGGATAATCCACATGGTCGTTGGCCTAGTACAACAACATACAACTGATATACGAAACGGAATCCCACTATCTGCCAACTGATTATACCATCGTCTGTAGAGAAACTACATCTGTGGCGAATAATAAACTAAAAGGGACCAGAAATAGTTGATGCCTTAATGAAACGGTTGTGACATTTTCTATCCTATAACTCATTTAACTTCGCTCTTTCCTTCAAATGCTGCTATAATGTCAACATTAGTAAAAGCATCTGTCAAAGATTGTCATTGCAGATAATATAGTCTCACACAAATCGTATTACATCAGGTTATAAAAACCCAAATGATGCATTTAGCAGGATTAAATTGTAAGAGAACAGAGACTTCTCAGCCCACTGGGACCGGTCGCCAGAGTGAATGGTACAAGTTGAATAAAAATCATGTTCAGCCTCAGATCTCATTAACCTGCCTTTTGAAGCACTAAATCATACCCCCAAAAGCAAACATTTCGAGAAAACATACGAAATTCCCTTAAATAAGATATATTTCGATAAATTCTTGTGAAAGACGAAAATTACTACATCAATTACTCTTTTATTCAATAAAAATATCATCATACAGAAGCCTAAGGGCAAGAATGACGTCTATAAATCAACAAATAGGCAACAACTGTAGCGAACATCATTCTTAGGATAGTTGTCAAGATATCTAGTAGTTATGTGTTTGAGGTGAACTTGAAACAGACATAGAAAGAAAGAGATCGATAAGCGAACACATCAAGACTCTAGACTCCTTCTTTATAGAATTACTTTCTTTACTTAACTGTTTTCTGTCGTGCAGTTCATTTGATTTAAATTCTCAGCGAAAACTGACTCATAAATAGTAATAATGATAATAATAATAATTTTTCCCTTGGGTTCCTAGTGGAACATGGGGATTCAGTAGCACGTCTCCATTCCACTGTCTTCTCTGCAGTCTTTCCAACCTCACTCCACCACTGCCCATAAGCTTTCATTTCTTCCTCACATAAACTTCTCCGTGTCACCCTCGAATCAGACGTCCAACTCGTCGTTTCCCATGCGGATTCCACTCGAGCAACTGGTCTGGCACGTGATGTCCCCAATCGGCCTTCTCAGTGTATGCCCAATCAAATCCAATCAAATCCAATCCATCTCCACTTCCTTCTGTATACTTGTTGAACGACAGGTTGGTTGGTTGGTTGCCAGCCAGAGTGAGTTTTGTGCTGCTTATTCTTTCTGGCCATCTCATGGATGATCGGTAACGAGCAAGTGTAGGCAGCTGTTGATGAATATCTGTAGTTTGTTGAAAGTGCGTTTCGTGACACACCAAGTTTCTGAAACATATAGAATCACTGACTGACTTGACTGAATTGGTGTTGAAAATCCAGTTGTTGTTGACGCTTTATGCTGAGTGCAGTAGATTTCCACACTGATTTGTTCAGATTAATGAAAGCCTTTCTTACTGTCTTTCCAATTGTGGTTTTGACATGCTCGTCTGTGCCTGTGCCGCTGCCTGTAGTTGAGAGGATGATGTCTGGGTAAGTAGATGAAAGAGACTACCTCCTTTATGTTTCTCTCGTTGAGGGTGATTGTTGCTTGTTGTTGATACTGTTTTTGGTTGTGTATCCTGATCACCTGCGTCTTGTTTACATTCATGTGGAGAAAGTCTGGTCTTCACTGTCCTACCTCTTCTGTCAACTTGTTAGTTTTGGGTTGTCGATTGTGGAGTTTGTGCAACAAGACATTGGACATAAATGATCATTGGTGAAATACAAGTCTTCTAAGCTCTTTTCATTGGTTTAGCCATTGTATATCCATCTTCTCGCTGCTCACAGTTGTGTGTTTCATGATGCAGTTGACCGTAATGAGGGAGATGATTGTGCTAGTAGTCGGCAGTCTTGTCTTGTTGTACTGGTGTCTTCACTTCAGTTGAAAGGTGTCACTGAGTTTTCGATTGTGTATCGCTTGTCGTGTGGCGTTTTCATATAGTTGTTGAATGAG